GATTATGGATGGATCATGGATGGATGATGGATGGATGAATGATGATGGTGTATGATGGATGGATCATGGATGGATCATGGATGGATCATGGGTGGGTGGATCTACTCAGATTCACAAACTTTTTTTTTTTGTTATATTTAGTTGTTTATTAGCTTTTTTTGCTGTTCGACAACTTGTTGCATGAGTTAAAATTTAGCTGTTTTTATAACTATTGACTACTTTTTGTTTTTAGTTGCTGGTTTCAGATTCTAGTTACAATTTTGCTAAGTTTAAGCTTCTATTTACTTTTATGCAACTTTAACTTTCTTGCTAAATTTTGCTAACCTTTTTTTGCTATTTTTAACTTTCATGATGCTACTTTTGGATTTTAACTAGTTTTTTTTTTTTTTTTATCTTTTAGCTATTCTGCTCCTTTAAGCTTTTAGTTAGTGTTCTGCCTCTTTTAGCTTTCATTCTGATTTTGTAACTTTTAGTTAGTATTCATCAAAGTCCATGCTTAATAATCCAGGTATAATATCCAACAATGTTCAGTCAGGTCATCTGGACAGTCATCTAACCACTTTGTTGGATTGTATACCTGGATTATTGAGCATGGACGTTGGTGTTTTGAACCAGTTTGACATGACTGCCGACGAGGGAGAGGGCGGGCACCAGAGGCCATCTTAACACCAACATAACTGGGGGGGGGGTTCCACTTTGGAGTAAACTGTTGTGGAGAATCAGTTTTGTTTGGTGTTTCCTCAGACTGATGAAGCCTTCTGGATGGAGGGTGAAATGTCGCAGCACAAAAAACAACAACAACAAAAAAAAAAACGTCCAGATGGACTGACTGAACCTTGTTGGATTTAGTTAGTATTCTGATTCTTGTAGTTTTTAGTGTTCTGCTTCTTTCAGCTAGTATTCAGCTTCTTTAAAACTTTTAGTGTTCTGTCTATTTTAGTTTTCAGCTAATATTCTGCTTTTTTAGTTTTCAGTATTCTGCTTCTTTTACTATTTAATTTGTGTTCTTATTTTAGCTTTCTGCTAGTATTCTGCTTTTTAACTTTTAGTTAGTATTCTGCTTCTTTTAGCTTTAGTTAGTGTTCTGCTTCTTTTAGCTTAACTTAATGTTCTGCTTCTTTTAGCTTTAGTTAATGTTCTGCTTCTTTTAGCTTTAGTTAATGTTCTGCTTCTTTTAGCTTTAGTTAATGTTCTGCTTCTTTTAGCTTTAGTTAATGTTCTGCTTCTTTTAGCTTGTGTTCTGCTTCTTTTAGCTTTAGTTAATGTTCTGCTTCTTTTAGCTTGTGTTCTGCTTCTCAATTTGAGCTTCTTAAGCAGATTTTGGTGGGAGTTCAGCACTGAATTTTTGCGGAAAAAGACATTTTGCACACATGGCCACAGTTTTTAGTTTTTCCACAATAACCAAAGAAGCTCTTCCAGCTGTTCGCCTCAGTGTTTCTGTGGGCTCATCCATCACAAACCTTCCCCGGCTCGTTCGTTCAGTCCAGAACTGCCAAGAGAGCAGCTGCATTGTTCAGAAAAGTCTAAAAATAGCTGCTGTATTGATTTCTCCAGCTGGCAGGGCCTGCTGAGCTCATCTGATACTCCGGTAAACACAGAGGAAATACATTAATGGAACCATGAAGGGATGAGGTTTTATTTTTGTCTGGGATGCCTGAAAACCCGATTTTACTATCAGTAATATCTGCTGATGTCGGTTCTGGTCTCCTGACAACAGAGAGGTTTGAGAGGCTGTGGGCTGATTCACACTCGTCAGGTGATGCGAGGTGACCAGCGGCCATTTTTCAGTCTGTAGTTTGCTGCCCCACAGACAATTATCGACGCATTAAAGACTCGAGTTGTGTTAGTTATCGCTGTGTGGGCTACCACCTCGTTTCCTCTTCCTCCCCTGTGAGAATCTTTAACATCCTCTGTTATTTTTTCTTCTTGAAGTGTCGTCTAACTCGTTAACAATGTGACGGAGCCTACGCACTTACAGCTGATTTATTTTAGCTGCTTTTACTTTAGACTCTCGTCTTTATGCCTCATTAATCTGCCCTTTATGATATGGTTGTTTTTTTAATTATTTCCCGTATGTGTTCACCTGGTAAATCAAGGGTAAAGTTTCATCCTTCTTATATTAAACACGGCTGCATCCTGTTCTGTTACGCATTCAGCTTTAAAGAGGGAAAGTGTTGGATAAAAATATCTTTTGTTTTTCTTGCTTACTCAAAGAAGCCACACTCGATGACAGAAGAAGGGTTTTAATTGGTTTTACTTGCAAGGACAGATTTTCAAAACAGATGTACAGAAATATACATGCATGGTGTCCAGTCGCAAGATCTGCACGGGCAGTGTGTTAGGCTTGTTTTTATAAACTTATCAGCTCTCCCAGCTCACAGAGACTGGTGTCCTTGAACTTGCAGCTGCGCATGCAGTATCAAATCAGATCCTCGTCCAGCTCTCTCTGAGAGAGAAATGACCTCTCTGCTAACTCAACACATGGTTCATGGGCACTTGACATATGCATCTGTTTATTTGTAATTAAACACGTCTCATTAGATGCAGAAGACAGATAGGATTTGTACGTCATATTGTTTGAATATTTTAAAATGTAATATATATATATATATATATATATATATATATATATATATATATATATATTCAATAGCTAGCCGGCCCTGTGATGGACTTGCGACCCGTCCAGGGTGTACCCCGCCCATCGCACAGTAATTGCTGGACATGGGCACCAGCGACCCCCGTGACCCAAAATGGAACAAACGGGTAAAGATAATGGATGGATGGATTCAATAGCTAGCCTTCACTAAAGGAGTGAATTTTGTCTACTAGCATGACATTTTATCAGTGTTTGGAGTTTGCGTTGAGGGTGAAGCTCAGCTACCACACCAAATTTGAGCTCAATATCCGTAAAACTGACTGAGTTAAATCCCTCTTTTGTGTTTGCTAAAGGAAGTTAGCTGCGACAGCCATCTTGAATTGCTTTGACTCCAAAAGTTAATCATTCCTTTGTTCCTTCAGTGATTACTTTCTGAGAGCTTCATTGAATGCATCTAGTGGTGTCAGATACTTTGTTAACAGTTAGAAAACACAGATGGTTCCATACCTGCTCACTATTCATGATATGTGACAAAAACAAAACAAAAATCTAAACGTGAGGAACTAATTCATGAGCAAATCTGTGATTGAAAATGTCTCCATGAGGTGTTGGTCAACTTTAAGTTACCTTGGTCATCTTGTTGCATGTTGTTGTTTCCTGCCAACATGAAGGGAGGGCAAACATTGAATAACAGTAGTCCCTCGTTTATCGTTGGGGATCTGTACCCTGAAGACCCGCGATAAGTGAAAAACCGCCAAGTAGGAATAGTAGTACAAGCAGTATGTAACTTTCAACACTTGCTCTTCTCAAGGGCGGACGTCTCCTCCTCTCTCTCTCCGCTTTGCTTTTGCTCTGTCCTGTCTGTGAAACTGCTTTAGAGCCTCTCTTCTACAAATCTTCCGAATCATAACTATGGACATGGATTTAGTCAGTTAGTCCCTCAACACAATTGATAACATTTCTTTGAAGAGAAGACAGGCTTTAGGTGAGCCGATTTTCCCTGTACGCAGTTGAGAATCTCATAGACTTTGAAGACTTGATGACATGTCTATCTCTGCTGTCATCTGTGGATTCTAAGGACGCATATATAATTGGATTTATGATAACTGGTTCCTGCTTTTTGGATTCAGCTGGTTCCTGGTCTATCAACAATCAAGGAAGTCGTCGGCTGCAAATCTGGACCTGGTCAGGTTGCCTGCCTTATATGATGGCTTGGTTCGTGCCTCGAGCACCCAGACTCTTGGCAGAATGGATCAGATCTCGGGGATTATTCTCAGGCACGTTCCATTGGTATGGTCTTTTAATTTGGATATTTCGGAAGCGAGTGAACTGACACAGACTCAAGGTAGATGTCATTAAAGTTCTGCCTGTCCCCAAAACAATTGTATTTATCTGAATTCGGCTCCCTGACTGACCTTGACAGGCCATCTTATCTCAACCTGCCTGGAAGTTTTGTAAACCTGATGCTCTACCCCCTCCCTCCTCTATTACTGAGGAATTTCCATGGACTTTTCAGAGGGGCCCAGCTGAATAAACATTCTGTCATAATTTCAGGACTCTTTGGATTCGTCGCTGGTCGTCCTCGGCAACCCCCGAGTGTGCACGGATCTCTCCAGAGGGAACTATTTGAACTGAGTGATTTTACCTGAACTCTGCTCTGCAGTGCCTCTGTGTGTTGCTCACCACCCTTGCGTTGCCCAATCCCCCGCGTAATGTCAACATCATTATGTGCAAGTGTACGAGATTTTTTTTCCATCACGCTTTTGACCTTCAAACTGAGGTTAAAAGCGTGTTAGGAATTTTTTTAATCTCCAAACCCTATGTGTCATTTTTCACAGCTTTTTATTGTCTGTCCAAACAGGTCTCACTTGTAAATGAGTCTTTGAGGCTCAATGTGACTTATCTGTTTAAATAAAGGTTGAATGAATAAATGAATGAAAAATAGTAGCTTTTTTTGTATTTATATATTCTCATATATGTATTTATTATTAAAGCGTTTTAAACCCTTCCCGCACTCTTGCAATATTCTAAACAATGTTTCTAAATGCTAAACGCTCTAAAAGAGCACAGCATGTCATGATCTCCTCTCTCCCACGCTCTCTGCATCCAGTTGCTCTCTGCCATCTGCCAGTGCTCTCGGCCACGCCCACTTCTCCGCTGCAGAGCAGAGATCATGACACACTGCAGGAGGAAGCTTCTCCTGCAGCTGTGGGCTGCACACAGGTGCAGCAGGTGCTAAATAATTTTAAACAATTTATTTTAAATAAAATTCCATGCCGATTGTGCAGCTCAGCCATCAATCAGCCAATTGTGTGTCATATCCAGTCTTGTTTTGAAAAACCGCGATAGAGCGAGTCCGCCAAAAACAAACTGCGACGTAGCGAGGGACTACTGTTTTTGTATTTGTGTCTGATTCAAGATGGCTGCCATGGTTAATCAGCCATAGTTAAAATGGCATTTTACAAATGTTGAGCTAAGATTTGGTTTGGATGTAGCTGAGAGTCATCCTCCACGCATGCTTTGAGTACTAGCAAGTCATCTGAGATCTTTGCCAAAAACGTTGGCATGCGAGGTGGCGGGCGATATGCATTCCTTCAAGTAATGCTAGTTTCACTCACGTCTGTGGACAACAAGATATTCCTTTTTTTTTAATTGATGGTGGAGAGTTTGGTCCAGGAGGTTCATTCTGTTCAGATCCGCATCTGACTCACATCATTTCATCAAACTTGACTACAAGCTTTTACAGCTACATTTTCATTATGGAACAGACTTCAAATTGTCTTTACTGCGCCAAAAACTATCTTTACATTTTACCATTTATTCAAAAGATTTGTCCCTTTAACTTTAAATAAACTTGAAGATTAGTTTGACAAATTTGAAGAAAAAAAGTACAATTTATGAAAACAAAGAGGAAAAAGACACTTTTGCGTCATCTGAAACAACATCATCAAGTCTCCCTTTTTTCTCCAGGTGCTTATTTAGTTCCTTACTTCATCCTCCTCCTCATCATTGGCATCCCGCTCTTCTTCTTGGAGCTGGCGGTGGGTCAGAAGATCCGACGTGGGAGCATCGGAGTGTGGAACTACGTCTGCCCTCGACTGGGCGGGATCGGCATGTCGAGTCTGATGGTGAGAAGGAAGCTTCTTTTCTTTCAGTCATCAATCTCAGAGGTTGTATCACCAAGGAGCTCTCGAAAGCTGCGGCGAAACAGAACACTGAATGCAGAGAAACTATAAAAACACAAATCTCCACCTGTGTGTTTTATGAACCTGGTTGTTTTTCTGCACGAGTAAACGTTTGATACTACAGTTATGACAAAAATACTACAAGTTTTATCATTCATCCAATAAAAACATTGGGCCAAATTGCTGAAATACGTAGCCACTCGGTGCTGCTCATCAAATGCGCTGATTATAAGATAGTCCTTAATGGTTCTCTGTGGTCAAATCATTTTAAAGAATCCACGTCTGCCTCTTGGATTTCTGAATTTCATTCATGCGTTGGAGGGTTCAGGACAGCGTTTCTTCAGAGATGCACGACTGGGACAGAAGTAGCTATAAATATCTCACAGAAGACTGCTGCTGAAAAGAGAAGACTTTAATTATTCATGATTTCTCCGTCCTTATTTAGTGTCTGAATGTCCTTGCTGCCAAGACTTGAAGGGACTGACAGCAGCGGGGCACATGATGCACAGTCATCTTTGGATGGCTGTCTCCCTTTTCACAGACACTGTTCTGTATTGAAATGAAGCTTTATATCACACAGTTCAATTTGATTCAATTCAGTTTATTTATATAGAGCTAAATCACAACAGAAGTCGTCTCAGTGCACTGAACAGAAACATTCACATACATGTAAAGTCAGCTAGTTATTTATTTAAGGAGCCAACAGGCTGCTTTGAGTTTTCACTTCATCACAGTTTCCTGTCCTAAGCAGCACAGAGGCAACAGAGAAAAGGAAAAACTCCCTCATGATCTCCAGCTGACCAAGCGACCATCTGCTTCGACTAGCTGGGTTTGAGAGGAACAGGAAGGAGGAACAGATACACAATGGCAGGTCCAGGATGGACTGAAATCACATGTTACGAAAGAATAATTATGAATACAAACTATTCATTTGTATGTATTTGTAGTTCATTTGATGAAATGAGGTTAATTTGTTCTCAAGTAGTCTAAGGTTATAGCAAGATAAGGAATAGGTCAGGAAACTAAGCCAACTAACTATAAGATTTATCAAAAAGAAAAGTCTTAAGCCCAGTCTTAAAACTGGACAATGTGTCAGCCACATGTACAGAAACTGGAAGTTGGTTCCAAAAGAGAGGAGCCTGATAATAGAAAACTCTTTCTCCCATTCTGGATTCCCATCGCAAGTAAGCCTGCAGTCTGAGAGCGAAGTGTTCTGTTATATATGGAACAATAAGATCTGTAATATAAGATGGAGCTAGGTTGTTGAGGGCTTTGTAGGTTAGAAGTACTTTGTAAGATTTTTCCTACATCTCATATTTGTGTTTATTGTAAGTGTGCCTCCTTCTATCTATCCCTATATCTGTGTATCCATTTAGGTGTGTGGTTTTGTGGGTCTCTACTATAACGTCATCATCGGTTGGAGCATCTTCTACTTTTTCCAGTCCTTCCAGTATCCTCTGCCATGGAGTGACTGTCCAATCAGAAGGAACGGGACAACTGCAAGTGGGTAACCTTAAATCCCAAACGTGACTCCCAAAATGACAGAGTGTTTGCTCTCATTCCCACTTCCTCTCTCTGGTGTGCAGTCGTGGAGCCAGAGTGCGACAAAAGCTCGGCCACCACCTATTTCTGGTACCGGCAGACGCTGAACACGACCAGCACCATCGCAGAGAGCGGCGGCCTCAATATCAAAATGACCCTGTCTCTGCTGGTGGCCTGGATCATCGTCTGCCTCGCCGTCATCAAGGGGATCGCCTCCTCTGGGAAGGTGGACTAGTGGGAAAGGAGGAAATATAAGAGAACATTCAAACGTTTCTCTGGTTTGAGAGTGTTTTTTCTCTACCTCCACAGGTGATGTACTTCAGCTCTCTTTTTCCATATGTGGTGCTCTTCTGTTTCATGGTCAGAGGTTTGATGCTGAAGGGATCCGTGGACGGGATCGCTCACATGTTTACTCCCAAGGTGAAATTGACATAGCTGCTGAGTCTTTTCATGGTTTTTCCACCTGTGAAGCTCTTTAAGCTAATAAAATATAACAACATATTATATTTCTGCGTCTTAGTTAGAGAAGATGTTGGAGCCCCAGGTTTGGAGGGAAGCAGCCACGCAGGTCTTCTTCGCCCTCGGTTTGGGCTTTGGAGGGGTCATCGCCTTCTCCAGTTACAACAAGATAGACAACAACTGTCACTTCGATGCCGTGCTCGTCTCTTTCATCAATTTCTTCACCTCCATCTTGGCTACACTAGTGGTGTTTGCCGTGCTGGGCTTCAAGGCTAACATCATGAATGAAAAATGTGTCGCGGAGTAAGTTTAACATCTTTATCTAAGCCTAAAATAAGGGGAAACAATTACTTGACAGCGGTGCGCTCATTTGATTTCCTGACATTTTAATGATTAAATTTGCTTCAATTTAGTTCTTGTGCTGCCATAAACATTTTGACAGCCAAAAAGCTCAGAAACAATTTGATATTTTACTGATTTTAGCACATTTAAAAAGACATTCAGGTGAATTTTGTATCAGCTCAACGCTGCTGTGAAGATTCATTCATTCAACCAGATGAATGACTGGTTGATTAGACAGGTTAATCCAATTGAGCCTCAGGGAGTCATTTACAAGAGAGACCTGATTTCTTAACAAAGAGTGATGACAACAGTGAATAACAATGACAACAATAGACAGTCATAAAAGAGGCATACAAATTCACAAACTGTCCTTGGGTCAAAAATATTAAATCTGTGCCGTTTTGTGTTTTGTTGTTAGGTTTATTTTTCATTATTGTGGTAATTTTCCATATTTTGCACTTTATTCTGTCCATCTGTGTTTCCTTTGTGCCCTCAGTCAGTTTTTTTACTCAATCCTGCCACGTCTATTCACACCTGCCCCCTGTTTCATCTCTTAACAAGAGTCCAGGTTAAAGTCTGGGTTTCATCCAAGATAACACATAATTATTTCAATCTCATATCAGTAAGATCGCTTGTTCAGTCCATCCCTCACATCCAACAGTACAGCCATTCTGGTTCACTCTGCTCACATCCCGCCTAGATTATTACCCTTCTTTTTAGTTTACCCACAAAATCCATCCATAAACTCCAACTGGTCCAAAACTCTGCCACTCATGTCATCTCCAGAACCCCTTCCATTAGTCATAACCCTCATCCTGCATCTTTACTGGCTCCAAATAATCAGAATCAGAATCAGAATAAGCTTTATTATCATTGAACCGAGATACAACAAGAACATTTACGCACAGCCATCCGAAAGACGGGCGGAGTGCACGAAGCTGCTGCTATAAAGCGCGGCCTTCTTCTTATTATTCAGAATAAATTTTTTAGATAGAAAAGGGGACAAAGCCATGAGGAGAGGGATAGTGGCCTTACAAAAAAAGATCTCTTCACACCTTGTCCTTACAGGGCAAGATTTAAGACATTAAAAAACTCTGTCAGTCAAACACATTTATAAACACGTTACATATGCATTTACGATGAGTCGGTCCATGAAGCACTAAACAGATAGTCCATTGTCCTGATAAGATGGTGATCAGCTGGCACAGTTCTAATAAGGCTCCACAGAAGGGAGGGGATGGAGGTGGATTGCGATAGACAAAGCTTTTCCTTAGTTTACACATTTCCCATGAGAAACTGATAAGTCGGCCTGTTCCGAGGCCAACCAGGGAGTCAGATTCAGATAATCCACAATTGTTGATTTATTCAGGCAGCCTTCAGTCTGTACCGATAACTTTCCAAGGTCTGAAATGGCCAGATTAGGGTGCATTCCACTGGTCTGTGCTTATGAGTCTCTTCAAGATGGTTTTTCATGCTGACGAGGGACAAAGCCACAGGTGGCCTGCGATTAAAATCACTTCCAACTTCTGGTTTTGCTCGTAAACCAGCTGATTTTGAGTCCTCCAGCACGAACCAGACCTTCACATAGACAGCAGCCTGTCGAGTTCCAAATTAGCTGCGGCCGTCTTCTTTGTATGTTGATAGACCAGGATCCAGACTATCCAAACACAGGAAACCTGTTATCATAAATCCAATTATCGGCAATTTCAGCATCCTCAGTTGATAGCAGAAGTAGACACATCCCCCCAGAGATTTATCCAGCTTTGTGCGTCTCATCCAAGCAGATGAGGGTTCTCCAGGACCCTGTCACTTTGTTGAAAATAATTTGTAATATACATCGAAAGTCCAGTTGGTCAGATCCAAAACAGTAGTTTCCATTTCGGGAGATGTGTAAAAAAAAATAGGAGCTGCTCCGATACAAAGACAGAGAGCAAACAAAAAGGCAGGAGGAAAACAGGGAGCGGGAAGGAAGGCGTGCGCCTCGTTGGAGAGCTGGTGAAGAAAAAAGGTCACATTTCGTACAAAATCCTCCTCTAACCTTCAAAACCCTCAACCATCTCAGCCGTTCTCCACATCAGCACACCCACCTGCACTCTCAGGTCCTACTCCTCCACCCAGCCGCCTGCTCGTCTGACCACTTTGGGCTCAAGAATGTTTAGGTGTCAGCGCCTCACCTCCGAAACTCTCTCCTCCTGGACATCAAAACCTCTCCCACCCACTCCTTTTTCAAATCCCACTCATTTCTTGAAACATGCTCCAACCTCCTTGTGACGCTAGCTGTAATTATGTTGCCTGTCTCTTTTTATTGTTTAATCTTGTTTGTGTTGTTTTTCTGCTTGTTTTACATGTAACGTTTTATGTTGTATTTTTACTGTATGATGTCCTTGAGTGCCCTCAAATAAATTGTATTATTATTCTTATTTTGCTCAGCTGTCTCATCTCCTCATCAGCCCCAGTCCATTTATTCCCTCTGTCTCCATTCACTCGTTAGTTTCTCATTTTGCCACATTTTCTCAGCTCCTTCTTGCACCTCTTTGAACCCACCCTCAGTTCTGTCAGTTTGCTGCCACATCAGCCTTTTTGTTTGGTTTAATTACTTTGAGCTGCTTTGAGCTCGTCTGCATTTCTGGCTCCAAACTGTGACAGAGGCCCCAGAGGTTAATTTGACCCAAGGGCAGCAGCAGGGTTAAACAAGTGTCTAGATGTGCGTCATACTCCAATAAAAACGATACCGTAAGCTAAAGTATTGATGCTGTGTACTCCATTAACACTCGTGCTCTGACAAAACTAGATGCTAACAATACTGTTGCATGTTAGCATGCTAACAGTGGCAGATGTCTTGTGGTTTTGCAAAATAATTTAAATGTTTACCAAACTGATTTGCTATGTATCCTGACAGAATGACAAATTAACACCCAATAAAGGCTAGTCAAGTAACAGTATGTTTCCTTGGGAGTTTTACTTGTTTATTTTTTTTCGGTCTTCAAAGATAGTTTGAACTTTTCCAGCGCAACTTACCAATAATCTGCCTGCTCAAAACAAATGGTCCCACTCTTAATATGTTGTTGGACCGCCTTTGGCTTTGATTATGGCACACATTCTCTGTGGCATTGTTTCCACAAGCTTCTGCAATGTTACATTTATTTCTATTCAGAGTTGCATTAAGTTTTTTACAAGATCTTGTATTGATGACAGAAGGTTTGGACCACCGCACAGTCTTTTCCAGTACATCCCAAAGACTCTCAGTGTGATTCAGGTCTGGGCTCTGTGGTGGCCAATCCATGTGTGAAAATGTTTCATGCTCCCTGAGCTACTCTTTCACAATTTGAGTCCAATGAATCTTGGCATTGTCATCTTGGAACATACCTGCACCATCAGAGAAGAGAAAACCGACTGATGGAATAACCTGGTCATTCAGTATATTCAGCTGACCTCATTCTTTGGATGAGTCAGAACCTAGTCCTGACCAACTGCAGCAACCTCAGATCATAGACTGCACCCACAGACCTGTACAATAGGCACTAGGCATGATGGGTCACGATGGGAAACGTATAACTCCTATTGCTTATTAAGTTTGCTTGTATTTGTTTAGCTCCATGTCTTTGTATATTGAGCTTTCTGCTCTTTTATTCCTGCAGAAATGGAGAAAAGATCCTGGGGTACCTAAACTCCAACGTCCTGAGTCATGACCTCATTCCTCCTCACGTAAACCTTTCCCATCTCACCACATCAGACTACGCTGAGGTGTACAGCGTCATCAAGACGGTAAAAGAAGACGGCTTTGTCCAGCTGGGTCTGGAGCCTTGTGTCCTGGAGGATGAACTCAACAAGGTGAGTGTTTGGCACACGTCAGTCAGCTGGATCTGTAGCGTGGATAGGATCTCACAGAGCTGAATAAATCTTCCCAGGCTGTCCAGGGCACTGGCCTGGCCTTCATCGCCTTCACAGAGGCCATGACCCATTTTCCAGCATCCCCTTTCTGGTCAGTAATGTTCTTCTTCATGCTCATTAACCTTGGTTTGGGCAGCATGATTGGCACTATGACCGGCATCACCACACCTGTCCTTGATGCCTACAAAGTCCAGAAGGAGCTTTTCACAGGTATGTCCTCACCATCACACTGACTCTTTGCCTCTCTCTACCCCTCCTCTAGAATCTATTCGAACCTTCTTCTGAGCTTTTATAAATTTTCATAGCACCAAAACTCTGGAAATGGCCTTCATTGTCTCAATGCTTTCTTATTGTCTGTGCACCTCTTTTTGTCCAGTGTGTTGCTGCATTGTGGCTTTCCTTTGTGGCCTGCTGTTTGTTCAACGCTCAGGGAATTATTTTGTCACCATGTTCGATGATTACTCTGCTGGTCTGCCCCTCACTGTGGTGGTCATCCTGGAAAATCTGTCCGTCGCTTGGATTTACGGCACCAAAAGGTGAGACCGGCTTATTGTGTGGGTCTGCTGAGGATGGATACTTATTTTTACATTTCCAGATGATAAACTTTTGGAGGAAACTTGATTCAAGATGGCTGCCACTGCTGATTGTCCTTAGCCTGCACAAACATGCAGTTAATTTGTACAATTTTTGATGTGGTAGTAGCTGAGAGTCATTCTCAACACATACTCCGAGCACAGACAGATCACTCAAGATATTGTGCTTGACTTTATTTTCAAGAATGAAGTAAAACAGCTATAACTTTGTCATTTCTCAACAGTAAAATATCTGTCTGAGACTCTGGCATCAATGACAGCAGGGGATATCCATCCCTTCAAGGAATGCTAAGCCTTTAACTTTACAATTACCACGTTTCTGTTGCGATCTGATGGTTAGATGTTCAACCCAAGCGCAGGCAGACCATGGAGACTCAGAGATTTATGATAATAAATCATTTATTAAAAGAAACAAAAGGCTGACGGGGCAGCTAACTTACATGACGTTGGGAACACAAAGGGAAGACAGAACATGGAGCTTGACGTGGAAATTCCCAGACAACGAGGAACACAGAGACACAGACTTAAATAGGAACGTTAATGACAGACAACACCTGGGAAGGACAACAGGTGGCGGAGGCATCCTCACAATTTCCCTGTGTGTTTTCTTTGTCAGGTTCATGCAGGACCTGGAGGACATGTTGGGCTTTCGACCATCAGTTATTTATTTCTACCTCTGGAAGTACGTCTCCCCTTTCTGTCTCATCATCCTCATCTCAGCCACTGTCATAGAGATGGCCATCAGCCCTCCAGGATATAATGCTTGGGTTCAAGAGCTGGTGAGTCCGTGTGAATGTGTGTGTGTGTTGTCTCGTAGTTACAGTTCTTTAACATTGTTGATCTAACAGAAAGTTTGCCGACCTGCGACTAAATGACACTGTGTGATCCTGAGCTAAAACTTCGAGTTGTCGTAGCTGAGAGTGATCCTCAACATGTATCTTAAGATTAAAACCAGGGAGTGGAAGCTTCATTTAAAGAATACTTGACCTTTGGTTCAAGTATGTTTATGTGAGAGGAACAAAAATATGTTTTTTTGAGCTTTGCCAACGTATCAAGATTGCCCATCTCCTTCCCTTTAGGCCCAGGAGCGCTTCCAGAGCTACCCTCCCTGGGCTCTGGTCATGTGCTTCGCTCTTATAATTGTGGCCATGCTTCCACTTCCCATCATCTTCATCGCCCGCCACTTCAACTTGATCGCAGACGGCTCCAACAAGCTGTCTGTCACCTATCGTAAATCTATAATGAAAGACATCTCCAACCTCGAGGAGCAGGACGAGGCCAGATTCATCCTCGGGGCCAAGCCCGGCGACGCCCCATCATCCGGTCCAGTACGCAGACCCTACGTGACTCCAAGGGGGAACACGTCTTTGGATCCTAATTCTCTGTCTCCAAATGTCTGTTACGGCACAAGCTATCAAAACGCCGCGATAAGCCCCACCACGCCGACGACGCCACCGACACCCGTGACACCAGAGTCTGACTCTTGAAGACCCCTCTGACGCCCAGTTTTTAAAAACATTTTACTTTCCTGCTAGCTAATCTCCACCAGGAGACACCAAGGATTCATCACTGCCCCGCTGACATCATATGAAGCCATGAAGTTTAAAAACGAGCACATTCTTCCCAGAGTAACAGCCTGAGTGTAGAAATGGCTCCTTGTTGCACAACGTCTTGTCTCCGTTCAGAGGTAAAATATCAAAATGGAAACATCTGGATCTGTTTTCTTCATCAGGTTTGTGGAAAATCCTTTGACACGCTCTTCCTTGCTTCAGTTTAAGGGTCTTACGCAGACAAAAACCCGTCAGCTCAGAGCACATGTAGTGAAAGCCGACATTAATCTGCCTAAAAACTTTGAGTCATTGTGGATTTTCACTCAGGACGGCAGATAATGTGTGTTATTTTATTTAAACTCATAAAACCAGACAGCTGCTGCTTTCCATGATGTACATAAACAGCACAACATAAACCAAGTTATTTTCTGTCAAAGAATATGCAGAGGGTCTGAACTGAACACAGACACGCACATTTTGTTCTTTTAGGTCACATGAATGCACATTTACAGACGTCCACATCACATAATGTTACAAAAAGCTGCTCTAAAGACACTTTTGTTCTGTTTGAGCCCAAAGTCGAACCTCCTGCGGGAGTTTATGTAGCAGTCCTTGTTTATTTTGTGAATAGTCATGTACAGTGTAGTAATAAAGTCTAGAACAACATAGTTTTTCCTTTGAGGAGATTAAAGCAACAATATTAGTATCCATGAGGCACACGTGTGTTGTTACAAGTTCTATAGAGGAAAAAAATAGTTGATTAAATTAGTGTTTTCACCCATGAAGAAAACAAAACAAACAAACAAAAAGCACAAGTTTTAGCACAAAAACATCATTTCAAAGCAATAGTTTGAGTTTTATGAAGTGGGCTTCTATGGAAAGGGTGTGAACAGTTCACATCTTACCTGTTGTAGACAGACCTCAGTGTAGAGAACGTTTAATTAACAGATAGTCTGACCAAAGTGGACTGCAGTCATCTTGCAACAACTCATGTTTTAAAGACTTCCCAGCATCTAAAGTGAACATGTTGAGGTCACAAACTGAGCCTGAAGTGATGTGTTATCTGTGATTTGGTCTCAGTAACCCAAAGAAAACTGCTTGGGATCAGAATGTCGACCAGTAAACACGCTCACATGTGAACATGTCTGGTCCAAAGGTCAACCTATCCTGCAGTTGCCATAGACAAAAATACAGAAACATGAAGATCATGACGTGACTTTAGAGAGAAAGATCCAGGTTAAGAAACTGATGTCAATTATTACCATCAAAATAAGGACAGTTGATCCTTCAGTCCTCCATTTATTAATCAAATACAGTAGTCCCTCATTTGTCATGGGGGATCCGTACCCGGAAGCCCCGCGAAGCATCCACACCTGCCACCCCCCTCATTCGTCTCACTCTGGGCCCTTGAGCAAGGCCCTTAACCACCATCTGCTCCTCCGGGTGTCCTAGATAGCAGCTCTCTGCTCCACACAGACGGTTGTGGTAGCTCGATGGTCTGTGGTTGCGTCAGGAAGAGCATCCGGCGTAAAAATAACTACCAAGTCTTCGTGCGACTTAGTTTGCTGTGGCGACCCCTAAAGAAGGGAGCAGCCAAAAGGAAAAAATAAAATGAAATAAATATATATATATATATATATATATATATATATATATGTATGTATGTATATGTTAAGGCGTTTTAAACTCTTCCCAAACTCTTGCAATATTTTAAACAATGTTTCTAAAGTCTAAACGCTCTAAAAGAGCACAGAATGTCATGATTTCAGCTCCCTGCTTCCGCTGCTCTCAGCCTGCATGCACTCTTGGCCACACCCACTTCTACGCACTGCACAGGGAACAACTGATTAGCTGCAGCAGGAAGTTTATCCTGCAATATTAGCTGCGCAAAGGTGTAGGAGGTGATAAGTAATTAAAAATAATTGATTTAAAATAAAAATTCCATGCCAATCATGCGGCTCATCCATCAATCAGCCAATTGTGTGTCATGGCCAATCTTATTTTGAAAAACGGCGATAGAGCGAGTCCACGATAAATGAACTGCGAAGTGGCGAGGGACTACTGTAACTTACAACAAACACTGTTTTAAAACACTGATTACAGCTGCTGATTATACCTTACTCGGCTATTTACATGAAAATGTTATGACTAATTTGCTAACAGAACCAGTAGCAGCTAGCTGTAGCAGCTCTGGTGCTGCCCAGGCATTTATATATAATAATATATTATGCATAAATCATAATATTTCTGCTGCAATAACAGTGCAGTTTGAAATTGTTAGTGGTGTAAATGTTTATAAAACAGAGTTTGCATAAACTGCTACAAAATTGTTGAGATCTGGGTTGTTTTGGGACGGCCATACTCCACTTTGGTCTTGGTTCTGTTAAGAGAAGCCATTAGCTCAACAATCCAGTCAGGATTAAAATCTATTTCTCTAAATTGAGGGTGTTCAAAGCGCTATCTACAACAGGTAAGATATTTATTGTCTATAACTTTACACAAAGCTTCACTTCAAAAACGATTTGGACTACTTGTTGCGCTCCTTTCAGAATAAACTACTTAGTTTTATGGACTCCGAAAAACAAATTAGTATGACTGTTTTTAATGTATTTTGTGCTGTGAGACACCAGGCATTCAAGTAAATTAGAAACAATCACGCAATTTGTTGTTCAATAGCACAAAAGAAATCCCACACAGTTATTGTGCACAAACAACTTCCTGACACGGAGTGTTTGAATATTTTACACGTTACACGTGAAACTCTCAGCTGGCAGCAGATAACCCCTGCACAGTCTACATGTGCTATATGAATACTGGAGCACAAAACAAAAAGCACAATGCTTCTCCACAAAACACAACAAACAAACAGATGGACCAAATCAAACCAAGAGAATTACAAACCTTCTGTGCACGGTGCAAAAACCCAAATCATGTAAACTCATGAAAGTCTTAGACGCTTCACTTCCAGCACAAACATGCAGGTTTCTGCATACTTGTAGAATACTACTAATAAATTATTTTTAGTATCGTAAATAAAGTGTCGTTAAAACGGATCCATTTGTGATGAATGTCTTTAAGATTAAGTGTTTCATATTTCATATCCACACACTGATACTTGAACAAAGCTGTTCAAACTGAGCACATTTAAGTTGCTGTTATACAGAAAAAGATACATTTATTTATTTTTTTATTGCAGTATTCAAAGCAATGGCATTAGGGTACAAATGGACAATATTTATTTTTTGTATATTTGCTGTTAGGTGTGGTTTATCTTTAAAGCAATACATAAAGTTTGTAATTTTAAATTCTCATTTGTATTGTTTTATTGTTGGTGTTTTTCTTGTTTTTGTTGTAAGATGTCAAAGATGCTGCTGGATGGTGACGTTAACGTCATCGAGGTCTTCTTGTACCTGCACCACACGTCAGGTGATCTTCATTTATTCACCTCAGCTTTAATGCTTTAGCGTTTGTCAGCCACACCAGCGGTCCGACTGTAAATGCTGACATAAATTCTCTGTTTGCTTCTAAAGTTAAATGTTTGTGGAAAGCCACGAGGAATGCAGTGAGACGTCAGGAAAACATTTTGGTGGTTAATTCTGCTGATTTTCTTCTGCTCGCTGACCCAAAATGACCCAAAACAGAGTTAATTTCACTGAAACACGTCCAACATTCAGGTTTGAATGAAAACAGGAAAAATTTGTTGAAACTTTTCAGATCAGACGTTTTAAAATGTGGCTCTGTGGGAAGGTGACGAACAATTAATATCCTACCTGCTATAGAAAGCTCTTTGAACAATTTCAGTTTGGAGGTCATTCTGACCTGACGAGCTAATAGCTAGTTAGTATCTTACCTGCAGTAGATGGCAATCAGAGAGATCCGCAGTTGGGGAAAAGTTTTGACAGAGGAGTGGAGCTAACAGCTGAGATGATTTCCATCGTCAAGTCTCACCACAGCTCTCTTCGACTTTACTCAGGTTTAAATGATCCCTGTGGTTTATAATCTGCCACAGTTATCACCAGTACTGTGGCCGAGTTGAGGCCACCTTCCCTCCAGTCTGAGCTCTTAAATTTAGCCCATTTGGTCTAGTTCAGTCTAAATTCTGTCGTCAGCCATCGAGCATGAAAACAGATCTTTTCTTATAGTGTGTTGGTTCATGTGTCGCTATTTTAACGTTTTATTTAGTATATGTGAGTAACAAAAATGAATGCTGCAGCTGCATGGTTTAATTGTTGTGAAGGAGACGCTCTCATGATTGGCGTGTCTCATGACACGTCTCAGCTCGGCTCACTTTGAACCTCAGCCGAGCAGGTCCTTAGACCCGAGCTGGAAGCGAGTGGGACAGGAAAGACTCTGAAGCTGCGCCGAGTCGACCCGAGTATGGTCGAGTAGAGTCTACGGAAAAAGACCAGTCAGACTGGAAACTCTTCCAGAGTTTACTGACATCTAAAACAAACAAACACTCTTATGGATTTTTACAGTTTGTCACATTTGCATCAAGTAGGTTTTACCCAACATGAAACGTGTTGCGGCCAACGCTACAGTTCAGTCCTTCAGATGTTAAAGTTTAGACTGAAGCCTGAACTCATTTCTAAAGGCAGAGATGCACTCTGTATGATAGCTGTTAGCTTGAAATGTTCCACCTGAGGTCACTCTGATCTCTGTCTGCTGCAGGTAAGATACTGACTGTTACCTCCACAGAAACTCACACTCATTTTACATCTGCAAGCTGACTTATGTCCTTAAAGAACAATTTCAGAATCATTTTATGTGAATGCGTTTTTTATTAGAAAAGAGTGGCGTGAACGTGACTAAGGGCACCAAATGCAGCCTTTAGACCAAACATCATATTTTATGTGGTGTTAAAACTGAAGGCTTTCTCTCGTTTTAAAGTGCTGTTTATGTTTTTATAATGAATGTTAATCCTCAGACTGTGGCTCTACAGCTTATATGTAACTGGACTGCCACTGTTGGAGACACGATTGTCCTTTTTTTTTTTGTCTACAATCCATCACAGTTTCATTTAACTCTTATCAAAATTATCTCACCTTTCTGGTTCTCTGAAATTAAACTGAGATGTGCATCTCTATCAAGAATTTGTTCTCTAAATTTTTGTAGCCGACATAAGAGTGAAGCCTTGCAACGCATGCAAAAACAAAATGAAAACTGCTGCAATGGTTCTGGGATATTTTGGAGACTCCCGCTCAAATGTAGTTCAGTTAATCCTGTAGCCCAACGAGTCGCTGGTTTAAACTTCATAACTCTTTTACTCTTGTTTTGGTTTTTAAAGGCCAGAGACAGAAAGGATCATGCAAACATACAGAACACTGTAAATATACTTATGTCACCAAACTTTTTCCAAGATCATTACGTTCATCGTTGTCCTGAGTATCAGGTTTAGCAGCAAATGTTACTAAAACAATCATGAATGTGACTTATGCACTTTTTTTCCCCACCAGACAGTAAATAAAGTTAGTTTTGTTCTAATAAGTTGTAAAGGTTTGTGTGAAAACAATATGTAACCTGCAGAATAACAATATTAGAAAACAGTAATAATATTAAACCACTTAATATAACTATATATATTATGTCTCAAGTGTGTGTGTAGAGTCAAAGTGGTGTGTGTAAGGCCTTACTGAGCACACAGTTAAAGCACCACATGTGCTGAAAACTCTTAGAAATGTCCCTTTAATGCGTCTGTTTCTCTAGCCTCAGTTATATGACAATATCTGTAAGAGTTGTAAAGATGTACAAATAATAAAAAAGGAGACAAACTGTTGCTGTTCGTCTGGATCTTTAGCTCAGATGAGAGGAAACCATCAATCTGCAGAGACGTTCTGACTAAAACGCTTTTCTTTGTATAAAACAACATAAATGTTGCATCTTGAATGATTTAAAAAGATTTATTTCAATGAAACATGTGAAATCTGGTTTTAAAGATAAGGTTTAGATGTGCTTTATTTGTACTGAATGTACTGCAGAAAACAAATGATATAAATACAAATCCATGGTAACTGCACCTCCTTTAGTTCAGTTTGGTTCTGAATGAGGAATCGTCATGTTGCTCTGAGTGACACGGACTCCTGCAGACGCCATCGAGGAGATTCTGACACGCATGTAAGGTGCAAAAAATACAAAAGAAAATCAGCCGTGGACAGTTCGTCCACACAGAAGATAAGAAAACAACAGTGACATTAATGGAATCAGTTTATCCAAAGTGAGGTGGTTTAAAGTCATCTACAGCAGGTAGGATGTTGACTTGTTTTTTTACTTTAAATAAATTCAAACTATCCCTTTAAATTGTTGCTTTGTGTAAAACCAAAGAGCATGTTTGAATCCTTAAAAATTACCACTTTCCCTGCTCCTCTGCTGGTTTTAAATCACAGATCTTGATGCTACATTTCTCTCCAAGCCAGAAGCCCGGATACATCGGCTCAGTGAACTCAGCTTCTACCCGGTAAAGAAACTCCATTTTGTTGTGCTGCACCTCAAAGAACGACAGAGTTCCTGCTTCAAAATCCAGATAAACTCCAATCCTCTGGTTCTGGGGACGTGCTGTGAGCTGGACGCTCTCACCTCGGTGGCTCACAGAGTAGGTGGTAGAGCGATCCAGACTCCAGGAGTTTGTGTTTGCACCAAAGGCTGACATTTTCAAACTTGATCTTCTGTCAATGTCCCTGTAAGTAAGGGCGATCTCTGCCTTGTCTCCTTTCATTTCCACTTCATAGTAACATCTTCTGCCATGCAGCCCCTCCCTGCAGAGAACCTGCCGCCGATGGAGGAACCTTTGGGGGTAACGGATGAACGGAGTCTGACTTTTGCTGGGGCACAACATCACCTCTTTGTCTCCTTCTGAAATGGACAGGTCTTTATGAGCTGTTGTTGGGTCCAGAGACAGGTCACAGGCATCTAAGATCATTTAGAGATAAAGTTAGCACCAACAGCAGGAGTGAGTGTGTCAGATCAAGAGGACTGATTTAAACTCCAGAGAGGCGAGGACAGGATGAGTTTATGAAGATGAACTCACACTGCAGGAACTCCTCTCTGGTTATGGGTTCTTCTTCCTTTATCCTGGAGCTCCTGTTGAGTCTGTTCTGATCTGCAGGAGGAGAGAAGATCAGAAAATCTGTGAGTCAAACTCAGCAAGAAGTGTGGCCAGTCACTACGTCTCAGTACAGTCCCAGTACAGTCTCAGTACAATCTCAGTACAGTCCCAGTACAGTGTCAGTATAGTCCCAGTACAATCAGTACAATGACGGCACAGTCTTAGTACAGTCCCAACACAGTCCCTTTGTAGAATCAGTATACTCAGAGTACAGTCTAAGTACAGTCTAAGTACAGTCACAGTACAGTCTCAGTACAGTCTCAGTACAGTCTCAGTACAGTCAGTACAGTCACAGTACAGTCACAGTACAGTCCCAACACAGTCCCTTTGTAGAATCAGTATACTCAGAGTACAGTCTAAGTACAGTTTTTGTACAGTTTTTGTACAGTCTCAGTACAGTCTCAGTACAGTCACAGTACAGTCTCAGTACAGTCTAAGTACAGTTTTTGTACAGTTTTTGTACAGTCTCAGTACAGTCTCAGTACAGTCACAGTACAGTCTCAGTACAGTCACAGTACAGTCACAGTACAGTCTCAGTACAGTCTAAGTACAGTTTTTGTACAGTTTTTGTACAGTCTCAGTACAGTCTCAGTACAGTCACAGTACAGTCTCAGTACAGTCTTTGTACTGTCTGTTTTTCTGCGCGATGAAGCTACCACCCTGTACAATGGCCGAAACTTCACCTCACCTCTAAGGGGTACAATGGACCTTGCAAAATTGACTTTGGCTTTAATCCGGGCTGAGTTTAAAAGAAATTACTTCTCTTCAGATTCAATCTTACT